TTCCAGGAACTTCTGTTTTTGTTCCTGATTTACAGCATCCGCAGTTCTTTCGGTTTTTAATAATTGACTTCACTAGTTTTGAAACAATTGTGATATACAAGCAGGAAAGACTCGGGGGATTCCTGAGCACCTGCCTTGTCCTCTGAGACTGTGTGTTGGTTACGTATTCACTCTCTCCCTACATATGGCTATCTACATGGACCTCTGCCTTGAGAATGCACAACAAAGACTCAATTCACTGCTCAAGTTTTGAAACCTGGAGCTCAAACTTGTGCAGCCAGTGACACCGCCTGCAGATGTGTTTGCCTGGGACATATGGTATCTCCAATGACTTCACACACTCTGCAGGACATACACCCATCTTGGCTCAGCTGACCTGCCATCCCATAACTCTAAGAACAATTTGTTACCTTTAGAATAAGTACAAAATTACTATTAAAAATTTATAAAGCTAACACAAGTGAAGAAAAGAGATAACAAGGTGTAGAGCTGGATGAACACAGCAGGCCAAGCAGCATCAGAGGAGCAGGAAAGCTGACGTTTCGGGTGTCTAGACCCGAAACGTCAGATTTCCTGCTCGGCCTGCTGTGTTCATCCAGCTCTACACCTTGTTATCTCAGATTCTCCAGCATTGGCAGTTCCTACTATCTCTGTAACAAGTGAAGAAAAGTTTAGTTACTAACTTTTCTTCAGCTTAGTTTATTATTCTATTTTACTTTGATTTGATTTAACTTTACTTTCCTTTTGGTAGTGTTCCTTACTTAAATCCTTGCAGCTATTTCTTTCTAAAAATATTTCCCAGTTTTTGCTTTTTCAACTCACTCTCTAATAGCAGCTTCTCGCTAAAGGACAAAATACACCTTTTAAAGCCATAGTTTTATCACAATTGAGAAATAAAAAGAAAATTTGAGAATGATGAACCAAGTTAAGGATGGCCTGATAATGGAGAGTTCCATCTGCATATGCATAGTTTCATGCGCCTGAACAAACGGTTTACAAATTGAAGAATATTAACTTCTACGACATTTGTTTAAGTGCAGACCTGTCTGTAACTGAAGTGTTGGGATTCTTCCAGGTGAGCCCATTGGACAGGTGAAGCAAATTAAACAGTTCCAACATCAAACCTGGGTACCATCAGTTGCTCCAGCAACCACTCCCACACCCATAAACGGAGCTGCATCAGGACATTATTCAAATGGGCCACAGCACACTGCAGCAATCTGGAATTGCGCAATGCAGAACAGGAGCACTTATACGGAGTTTTTAAAAGAAATGGATACCCAAAATGTACAATAGGCCATTACCTCCACAACAGACACAACAAGAAGACACAACACAGCCAGACACACCAGTCACCCTACTGTATATCAGAGATAACCACAAGACTACTCAGACCCCTAGGTATCAGGGTAGCCTACAAACTAACACTGTGACAGCTACTGATGAACGTAAAGGATCCCATACCCAAAACAAATAAAACTAATGTAATATACAAAATACCATGCAAGGACTGTGAAAAACATTACATAGGCCAAACTGGAAGAAAACTGTCAATAAGGATAAATGAACACCAAATAGCCACCAAGAGACATGATCAATTCTCACTGGTTTCAATAGATACGGACAAAGAAGGACACAAGTTTGACTGGGACAACACATCCATAATAGCACGAGCCAAACAGAGACATGCCAGGGAACTCCTGGAGGCCTGGCATTCCAACTGGAACTCCATCAACAAACACATTGAACTGGACCCAATAAATAAACCACTGAAAAACACAACTGGAAGTAATGCCAACCACCCCAGCAAACTGAAGCATATAAATAACAAGCAGGACAGAACACCAACGCTTCAGTGAAGGCACACTGACGATGTTACCTAGCAGGGTGACGAAACGTTTGCAACCAAACACACTGACTCGGCGAGCAAGTCTATAACTTCAATGAGGAATTTAGATAGGGTTAATGGTAGTTGTCTTTTCCCTTGGATGGGGAGATTTCAAGACTAGGGGTCACATTTTTAAACTGAGACAGATTTAAAAAAGACAGGAGGAACAAATTCTTTACACAGAGGGTGGTTTAGGTGTGGTATGACCTGCCTGTGGAAGTGGTGGATGTTAGTACAATTGCAACATTTAAAACACGTTTGGATAGGTACGTGAATAGGAAAGGATTGGCGGGGATATGGGCCAGGAGAAGGCAGGTGGGACTAGTTTAGTTTGGGATTATGTTCAGCATGGACTGGTTGGACCAAAGGGTCTGTTTCCATGCTGTATGACTCTGACTTTATGACTGTATAAAGCTGTTTTCAATTGGTATTATGGTGACTGCAATAGACTTTTGAGGTGTTCACTCCAGATTGTGAACTGTTTTACTGGTGTGTGTGTGTGTGCAATAGTTGTGATTTTGTGAAAGTGCAAATGGTACTCCACCAAATAGAGGTGTCAGTCACAGACACAGGCTTTGATTTACAATTGGTTGTGGGACAGTGGAACCACTGCATGGATGAATATGTTGGCGACCAATGATGGCAGTGTAGCGTGAGGGAGTTGTGGGCAGAAAGTCACGTGAGCTTCCAGGAATCCCTTCAATGAAGAGAATTGATGGCTCTATCCTCAACTGTCAGTCAGTTTCTTTGACATTCAATTCTGAATAAAAAGAGATTTCCTTCAATAAATATTGGCAAGGCCCAAAGCATTATCTTCTATTCTTGCTACAAACTCCATTCGCTAGCGACTGACTTCATCCTTCTCCCTTAGAGGATGAACCAGGCAGTTTGTGACATTGGTACTATTTGACCCTGAGTTGAGGTTCTAATCACAAGGGCATCTATATTATTCATTTGTTATTCCATCTATTTATTGGTGCAACTTCCAAGGTTAAAACAAGAACGGAAAGAAGCAATAAAGGTGGTCATGCAAGAACAAATTCAAAATATTGAAATGGTCAGACTGAGTAAATTTACGGAAAATATGTCTAAACTACAGTTCTAGATATTTTTCAAAACAGGGATAAATTTTAACCTTCCCATTCCAACTGTTGCCATAAGTGCGTTTGTCTATTGCTAGTCGGTGCTATTCTGGGAGTCCGAAGTTTAGCAGCCCTGATGTGATGTAATTGTGCGCCATGCCGAGTTGTGCGCATGTGCATTGCTGCCTGATGGCGCGGTCCTGTTTGAGGCGTGGAGACGCTGAGTGGAGTGACGAGCGCTGAGCGAGATCAGGTACACTTTCACATGGTCTACTTCACCGGCTTGCTACGTACGCAGGCCGAACCGAGTTTCCATCTCTGAAAATTTGGTAAACCCTGAATGGGGTGCTGTGTGTTTAGGTATGAATATCTGCCGCAGATTTATGCCGGAACGGTAAACAACAGGCGTGGGACCGAAAAGCTGCCGCAGTGGGCGGCTTGCGGCCAGTGGCCGTCCAGTATTGGTGTTAATATGATTGACTTTATCAGATTCCAATCAGCCGCTCTTGTCCTATTTCCAAATATATGTAGACTTTCCCTAAACAATGTATCTTACCTTTACCAGCACTATGAGAACAAATACCCTGAAATGTATTGCAGGAAGTGGACTGCGTATTTTGCGTCCCGAAATGTGTAACCGGGCTACGAAGCAAATGCTTCGAATTGGAAGGAATCTCAGGCGCGAGTGTGTAATGCACGCAATTATAACACGCCGGAATTTTCTGGCTCCCTTATTCTTCGCTGTTGCTCCCTGTGCCTCGAAAAAATCTTGACTCATAATAAAGGCATCCTTGAGGCATTTATGTGCATTCAAACTTGCTTTGCATAATGCGATCGATGCTTTGCAACTTTATTAAAATACTTAAGAGCATTTTTTTAGACCTTGATTGTTTACATTAATTTCTGCTTATTTATGCCCTTTTCTGTGTTGTGCTTAACTACTTATTGGGAAAGGTTATATCGCCATCGTCCTAACAGACAATAGGACCGTTCTCTCACTGGATAGAGACAACTATGGTGATTTAAAGTAAGGTTACCATGCTTCGGGGGAGAGGAGGTTGAGAAGGAGAATCCTCCAAGGTAACCTAAGCCAGTGCGGGGTCTGAACCCATGTTGGTATTACTGTGCATTGCAAATCAGCTGTCCAGCTAACTAACCCCCATTCTCCATGTCTAGATGCTGACAAAATAATATAATTCGTGTGGCACCCCATAACCTTAATATTTTCATATGTTACATTAGAATTTTGCTGTATATTTGAGAATTGTGGAAGTTGACAGGACCAAAGGGAGATATTTGTCCTATTTTGTCTATGTTGGCTATTTGTAAAAGTAATTAGAAATATTTCTTCCCATCACCCAAATAAGGGTGCTAAGGTTGTAGTTATCTTTTCCTCAATTAGTCCTTTGGCAAACAGTTCTATTTAATAAATCTTCACAGTTTACGCTTATGCTGAATTGCTTTCTTCATACACTTTGAAAGAAGATCTGCATTGACGTAGTTACTTTTGTGACAGCTGAAATATGTCAAAGCAGTTTGTAACTGATTCATACTTTAGAAGTGTTGGCAGGTGGGAAATGAAGCCACAGCACTTTTTTTTATTTATTCATAGAATGTAGGTATTTCTATCCTTTAATTATCAAGAGTCAACCACATTATTGTTGGTCTGGGTTCACATGTAGGCCAAACCAGGTAAGAATGACAATTTCTATCCATTAAAACCCATTAGTGAAGCAGACAGGTTTTCTGATCATCGTCAACAGGTTTCAAAGTCATCATTAAACTTTTAATTCAGATTTTTATTAAATTCAAATTCCATCACTAGCCATACCATGGTGAGATTCAAACAGACGTCCCAGAACATTAGTCTGAGTAGTTAGTTTAGTAACATTACCATTACACCATTGGCTTTCCTCTTACATTACAGAAATGTGATAAATTACCAGATAACCAATTTAAATGTTTGTCCAGGGATGAGGACCCTGAAAATAATTTTCCTTCTCTACAGCATTGTGCCATGCAATGTTTATCTACGTCGGAGAGCACAGGTGGGGTGTTGGTTGAGCATCTCATCCAAATTGTGGCACTCTGTCAGTGCAGTACTCCTTCATTACTGTGCTAGATTGTTAGCCTGGATATGCTTAGGATTCTGGAGTGGGACTTGAACCCACAAGCTTCTAACTATGCTATTTACTAAGGTATGGCTGACGTTGTTTTAAATGTATGATCACCCCCACCCAAAACATAACCAGAGAACATTGAGTTTCTCTATTCACACTGTCAAAATCGCTCATAATTTTAAAACATCTGAAATTTCTTAATAGTTTTTGCTCCTTTAGTAGCTGTCACAGTAACTTTTTTTCTGTTCATGGCATGAGAACATCATTGGAAAGGCCTATGTTTATTGCCAATCCTAAATTGCCCTTAAGCTGTTGGCTGAACCACTGCAGTGCCTGTGTTGTAGTGCTGATAATGCTATTAGAAAGGAAGTTCCAGGTTTGTGGCTTGGTGATAGTGAAGGAATGACAATATAGTTCTAAATCAAGAGAAAAGAGACAGCCTGTTAATCCTTTCCTGATATACCGTTGTATGTATCGTACTGAGAGACTTGTTGGGAATCTAACAAGTGAAGGCATTCCATTGTGCCTGCTGCTGTCATCCTTCACAGTGTTAGATGTAATTTTGGGAGGTGGTGTTGAAGGAACAAAGGCAGGTGGTAACTCCTGCTTACGGAACACACTACTGCCACAGTGTGTCAGTGCTGGAGGTAGTAAATGGGATGCCGATAAAGTAGGTCATTTTGTCATGGATGGTGTCAAACATTTTGAGTGTTATTGTTGCTACTCCAAGAAATTTGAGAGCATTCTGTTGCACATTGGACTGACGCGTTGAAGAAACTGGATAAGCTTTGGGGAGTCAGAAGCTTAGCTACTTGCAGAATTCCCAACTTCTGACCTGCTCTTGTTGCCATAGTTTTGATATGGCTGGTTCGGTTAAATTTCTGGTCAGTAGTAATACCAGCGTGCTGATGGTGGGATTTTCACTAATGGTAATAGTGTTGAGTGTCAAGGGGAGGTGATTTTGTTGTCTTTTGGAGATGATCATTGGCTGGCACATGGAAGTTACTTGCTGTGTATTAACCCATGCCTGAATGTTGTCAATATCTGCCTGGACTGCTTTGCTATATGAAAGAGACTGATCGAAACAGTCACCAGTGAACATCCCTAACTCTGATCTGACCCTGCACTAGAGGGAAAGCCATTATTAAATTAACAGGGGATATTTCTAGTGAGGGCTGATGATCCCTCACAGTCATGTAATGGGACTGAGATCAGCCTAAAACTATTTTCCTTTGTGCTCGTTGTGACTCTGTCTGGTGGAGAATTATTTTTTTGATTCCTATTGATCTCTGTTTGCGAGGCTGTTTGACTAGTGCTGCACTGATACTGTGGACAGTGACTCTCGTCATAGATCTAGAATTTTACTCCTTTGTTCATGGATCAAGGATCTAATGATGTTGGGAATCAGATGCCCCTTGTGGAAAGTAAATTTAGCATTTTTTGAGCAGTTTATTGATGAGTAAGTTCCACTTAAGATTGATAAGGAGACTGGTTGATTCTATTAGTTTGTCCTGCTTTTTGTGAGCCATCTTCCTTATTGCCAGTGTTGTCGAAGGATGGCATGGTTTATTCAGGAGCTTGAATTTTCACTTCTACAGTTGAATATTGTCCGGGTTCATAGCATGAGTTGAGTCTAGCACCTTCAGTCATTTCTTGATCCATGATGCTTTCATTCTTGGGAGGATGTCTAGATGGATCATCCATTTGGCATTTCTGGCTAAGGGTGGTTGTCATTGTTTCAGTTCCCATTTTTATATTACAGGGTTTCTCCATCATAAAGGATGGGTATGTTTATGGAGCTGCCTCTTCTGGTTAGCTGAGGCCAATTATACACCACCACTCATACTACCTGAGGCATGACAGCAGTGTTTTGACCTGAAAGTTGTTTTGGGATTGTTTGACTGCCTATTGCATACTGTTTGGAATGCATGTAGTCTTTGTAGCTTTACCAGTTGACACCTCATTTTATAGATATATTTGGTGATACTTCAAACATGGTTTTGTAGCTCCAAGTATGTGCAAGTGCATCACACTGCCAGCTCAAATAAGAATCTTAAATTGGTTCTTGGCACATTCTGAATAATTCAGAGCTAATATTGTCCAATCATGGAAACCTATCTAATGCTACACTCTGTTTTTAAGTTCTGCAAGCACATACTAATGTTCTTAAGAAGGGAGATTGCCATCCTTATGTGGTCTGGCCTACAATGACACCAGGCTCTCAACAAAGTGGTTTACTCTTAATTGCTCTCTTGGCGTCGAGGGATGGGCAGTAAATGGGCTAGCCTAGTTGTCGATGCCCACATCCCATGAATGAGTAAAAAATGCTGGTTGGGTATGGTTAGTATGTTGCGTGTTGTGAGCTGCTAAAGGATACCTTGTGAGGTAATGCCTACGATGATCAGGTCATTTCTTGGTGTATCTTGCAAACAAAAACATTTGATCCTGAAAAATGCCCAGTCTATCTCAATACCAAGGAAAGGTGAGATATGCTGAAATTATCACCTTATTTGAGGAAGGATGTTCTACCAATGAAGGGAGTGCAACAAAGGTTTACCAGACTGTATCCTGGAATGGCAGGACTGATGCCTGAAGAGAAATTGGATTGGTTAGGACTACATTGACTGGAGTTAAGAAGAATTAGGGGAATCTCCTAGAATCCTGTTAAATTCTACCTATACAGGACTGTAGAGGATAAACGTAGCAAAGGCCAGGGAGTTCAGAACCCAGGGTTTACAGTCTGCGGATATGGGGATAGGCTGTTTAAGACTGAAATGAGAAATCTTTTCACTAGAGAGTCATGAGCCTGGGGAGTTCTCTGTCACTGGTTTAGGTTAAAAATTAAATCTTTTCAAGAAGGAGTTAGATATGTAAGTTAATACGAACATTTTTAAAATATAAACCAAGAAAATAAAGGAATAAGTTAAAAGTTCAACAGTCTTTGATGAGTCTGCCACTTATCTTGCTCTCCCAAGAGACCTTGGCTGCCTGTTCTTGATGCCGCCAAAGCAGATACTGCTGCTAGAGCTGCAACCTGTCTGATATCCCCAGTGCCTCTCATGAACATGCTCGGGCAGGACCCACTCACACGCTGAGTCGAGACACTGTCATGAGCCGCCAAGAGACCGAGCCGACATACAGCCGAGAGACCAGGCTGAGACCTGCTACAAGCCGATGAGAGCCGTGGAAAGACTGGGGCAACATACCACCATGAGTCGCTGAGAGACAAGCCTAGACCTG